GATAAAGAGGGATAAAACCTGTAAATTTTAAGATTTTTATCTGGAAAACCTGGAAAAATCAGGGAAATTTGAAATCTGATTCGAGTGGCCACCCTGCAATGGCACAGACTCAGAAAGTTCTGATATGGGGGTGTTTTTCTCGGTTTGGTCTAGATCTCTTAATTCCTGTGGTTGGACACATAAACTCTGAGGTGTGTGTTTACATTCTGGGCAATGCTGTTCCCCCAACTCTATGATAATATGTCTGGGGAAACTCCTTGTTCTACTAACAAGGACAACTGCTCCACTCACTCATTGAAACTTGACCAGCCTTGCTTTGATGAAAAGGGTGTTCAAAGATGAGCAGGCCTTTTTAGAGGTCCCATCCCAAATCCCATTGCACATTCTCAGGACAAAATAAACTATAAATAGTTTTTTTTTTAAATTTTAAAAATTTAAATGTTTTTTGAAAATGATACACAATATTAAGTTATATTGACGTTAGCAAAATACAAATAAAACACTAAGCACAGGACAAGTGGGATAGGATATTAAAAAGAAAGATAAGGAATATCATTGAAAAATTAGAAAGCTGTCAGTTGTAATCAAAGTATGAAGGTCTGGTAGCTCTTGTAGTCCACTAGTGATAATATGTTCATATCTGTGCGAGTCCAGTTGAGGGAGGAAGAATAAAACATCTTCAACACTTTAATTTGGTCACAGGTGCAAAGAGTAGAATCTATATGCCTAAATCTGCGAAGATAGTCATAAGTTCTGTCTTGCACTGTTAAAGAATTTTTTTTTTTTAACATTACCAATGTGTGTGGAGTTCCAGTCACTTTGTCACAATGCTATGGTTTTTTGATAAATTTTACGTTTAATCAAAAATTTTGGAATCTTTTTAAAACTGATAGCGAGATTCTTATTTTAGACTGTCCCAATTTGTTTAAAAAAACTGACAAATTTATCCCACTCCAAATAAAGAAAAAGACTATTAATTGAAGATACGACTTATGAAAAGAATTATTGTGTCTTTGAAATATGATATTAGTAATTAAATTGCATTACTAGTAATAAAGTTTTTTTGTGTTTATCTTTCAGGATAGTAAACCTCTTTATTCCTTTGAAGATAATGGTGATTATGTGTGCGATGTTGCATGGTCACCTGTACACCCTTCTGTTTTTGCTTGTGTTGATGGAATGGGCAGGTTAGACGTTTGGAACCTCAATAATGATACTGAGGTATGTAATAGGCACATAAATTTTTAAAAAAATTTCAAAATCAGAGGACTTTTTTATATTTGTTTTTTATATGCTTCATATTTTATTAAAGAAATTACACCTCCTGTGGACAGAGTCACATTGACAATTGTCAACATTCATCTATGAAAAGGTACTCCAACATAGAATCGAGTTAATATGTCTTATATACTAGAGAATTGGAATTGTATTTTTGTAGTGGTAGACACACTGCAGTACTTCCCGACCAGAATTTTATTTGAGATAGATTCGATGAAGGGATACCACTAGTTGATTCATTGCTGTTTTACGAGAAACCGGGAGAGCTGTATTAAGATCACCGTACTCTAAAATGGTGATTGTGAGAACTGTATTAAGTTCACAATCATGGTCACTCCTGTGTTGCCATTAGCAGTCGAGTGTATACAGGCCCAAGTTGTGTGTAAACGTAACTGAGTAGCAATAACCTGAGGTAGATATTGTAACAGTCGCAAGTAGCAAGTCAACTGTTCAATGGGGATCATCTATCAAAATGGGTGTTTCTGTCAAGGTAGGCATGCTCACATCCCGTCCAAAGGTCACCAATGTGGGAGGAGAAGTTATCGACCCTGCAAACCTTCATCTATGAAACGGTACCCCAACGTAGAATCGAGTTAACATGTCTTATGTACTAGAGAATTGGAATTGTATTTTTGTAGAGGTAGACATACTATACCTCCCTCAGTTATATTTTAAGAGTTTTTCTTTCTTATATTTTAAAAAATAAGATTATTAAAGTTAAACTAAAGTTTTCAATTTAAAATTATCGCCACTTATCCAATTTGGGATGTCACGGAAAATCTGTATTAGGGAAGCATTGTTGTGTCAATAATAGTTTGGCTATTTTTCATTCCTCTGAAAATAGATAAGTATCAAATCATTAGAGCTTTTCACTTTATAAGGTTATGGTTACAAAACAATTGTTTCTTTACTATCTGTTTGGTGTAGAATGTCCTTTTATAGATCTTCTGTCATTAAATTGCCCATTCAATTAAATTCACAGGTAATACAATATTTTTTTCAACCCATGCACAAAAAAATTCTGGTAAAGATTGTGTTGAAAACAGTTGACTACTTTTGTCATCTTTTGTTTTTTTGGTGTCTGTGCATGTGGTAACTTTAATCAGCTATTTTTATCATTTCTTCTTATTTCACTGTTAATTCATTTTTTTGTGAAATTTTAAAGATTGTTTTATATTTAGGCTTCCCAAATTCAGTTCTGGTTAATAACCGATTCAAAGTAATTCAGCATAATTTTTCTGAATGAAAGTTACTCTACAAAAGTTCATTATAATCTAGTTTCTATAGCATAAATTTATTCACCTAGTGGATTTGTTCCATATTATATTTGTATTCTTGCCCTCAATCTGTATGAAAATTATTTCTTTCAAATATTTAGTTGAATACTTCAATTATTTTCCCATTCCATTTAAATAAATTCTAAAATAATATTAAGTTATGAAACGTTTATTTCCCCTATTAATATGATTTTTGTGCACAAAACTTTATATTTGTTCAAATAATGGTACAGTTACAAATAATAATGTGGAATGTAAATATTGAAAGTGTATTTTTTAATTTTTTTTGTCTGAAAAGTTAAGTTCAAAAGTGTGATGTTTGATAATACCGTCAAACTCCGCTATAGTGAACACGGTTTATAGTGAACTCCCGGATATAGTGAACGAAATGTTCGGTCCCATGCCTTGCTATGCACGTATAATGTTATTTTTTGTGGATATAGTGAACAAAAAAAGTGAGGAAGTTGGATATTATAAACTTTTTTCTGTCTTCGACTGATTTTTTAAAAATTTTTTTTGTAATAATTTGGAAATTTCTTCTTCAAATTAAATACATAGACCGATTTTCAAAACCATCTATAGAGGGGAATGTAGCGCTAAGCATTTTTTCTTGTTTGCTTCTTTTATCTCACTTTCCCATCCCTAAGCAAACCAAGCAGATGTTTCCAACCCAGGCAGACGATGCACCTGTAAGGTGTCAATGGGATGAATATGCATTTTCTGTCAGAGGGAATGAGTAGTTATTCATTATTGGTCAAAGGGTTGGACGCTAATATGTGTTGATAAGGCCCTCATCTCAACTCCTTTTTGCTCTCGGTTCAGTTAAAAAAAATCCAGCAAACAAGTGTCTCAAATTTAACTATGGCGAGAAGTAAACGTAAAACGTTCTCTATTGATGATAAAATGGGCATAATCAGAAAATTTTAAAATGGATGCAATCAAGCTAATATTTGCAGGGAATATAAACTATCCAAATCTGCACTTTGTAACATATGGAAAAATTATTAATAATTTCTGCTCATGAGAAAAATTTGGATGGCAGAAAAATGAGAAAAGCAGATCAGAAGAATGTTGAAGAAGCGTTACTGAAGTGGTTATCCAATCGAAGAAGCTGCAATCTTCCAGTATCTGGACAAATGTTGATGAATTTGCAAAGCGATTTTATGAGACTACTTTTATGTGCTCGAATGGCAGGTTAGACAGGTTTAAAAAAGCGGAATAACAGAAATTCAGGAAAAATTATATGAGAGTCGGGAAGTGTTTCCATATCTGATGTTGAGGATTGCTCATCAGCTAAAGATTACTATTTTTTTTTGTATGCAAGACGAAGAGTAATGAAAAATAACATATTTTTTGCTACTACATAATATTTTTTAGTCATTTATTTGAATAATGTGTAATGAAAGGGAGGAGTTTGGGAACCATTAGATAAATTGCCTACGTAACGGATATAGTGAACTCCCGGTTATAGTGAACTGAAATTTTGGTCCCTTGAAGGTTCACTATAGCGGGGTTTGACTGTATTATAGTTTAGAAATTAAGAGATGATATAGAATTGCAAATATTAGAATTTCTAGCTTTATTTTTAGGTTGAGGGATGGACTTGGCTTGAAAGTAATTGGCTTTTGTAGAAAAATATAAAGTAAATTTGATAACATGAACCAGGGAGCTTTCAAACATATAATTTATAATTTGTATATATTAGTTAGCAACACATTTCATTAATGTTTGTTGAATATTATTTTATTGCATTCATTAAGAATATTTATTTATTGTAAATAGCTTCCAATAGTGAGTACTGTTGTGGATGGCAATCCAGCTTTAAATAGAGTTGTATGGACTCCATCTGGTCATCAGCTTGCAGTTGGTGATGATTTTGGAAAAGTTTATGTGTATGACGTTGGAGAAGTAAGATTGCAATTTTTATATTATCACGCCTCTTAATAGAAATGTCATTAATATGACTAATAATAAATATTTGGAAATATTGATAAAAGGAATGTTTAGTGCTATTCTTATCAAATATAAATTTCAGAAAATATTTGTTAAGATCTGTAGCGCAATAAACAATGTTTGATTATTTTATTTTTAGTGGTACATTTATTGTTTCAGAAATTAGATAATATGAAATCAATATATATTAAATTGGTGTGTTTACCCTGCTAAAAAGGAATATCAAATATATTATGAATATTTTTTTTTTTACTTAATAATGATCTGTTTAATACTTGTCTTATTCAATTTTCAATTTATTTTTCAATTGGTGTCTTTTATTTCTCAAAAGTTATTTTTTTTATTATCTGAAAAACCATTTCTTTTGTCCTTGTAAGTAAGAACAAAAAATGTTTCTTGGTTTTGCCCATCGTTTATCGATATATATTTGTCGATTTTTTTTCTTTCTTTCCCATTTGCATTGACGATTGTTTATTTTTCTTGCAATTATAAGTAATTTGTATTGGTATTTTTTCTTTTTAATTGGTAATCTGCAATTGCTCTTTTTTTCTTTTCCATTTGTACTAGCAATTGTTTTTTTTATTGCTTTCATTTTACAAACAATATCTATATATTTTTTTAATTTTGAACTACTATAGTTTTTTTTTAATATATATTTTTACCAAAAATTATTTTGATCAATATCGTTTTGTTACCTTAATTCTTATTCCATTATATTTCGTTTATACCGACAGTTCGTTTTCAATTTATAGCAATATTTCTTTTCTATTTGTACCAACAATTAAAGATCAAGGGGAAAGATCAGTTTATGTCCATGAATGCTGATTCTAGGAAAAAATTAAAATTCAAAGCTGATATAAACCTTTTTTCTCGAGAACAGCTCTCTACCCTTCACAAAAGTTTTGTTAAAGTTAGGCTAGGAAATATCTTCATGATAGCATTGTTGAAATCAGATTAGCAATTATATTAACAACCAAACAGGAGCTTCAACACAGCAGGCATGAAAACGCCGAACATGGCGACCAAAAACAACGCTTACTAGAACATTTTGCAAAAAAAAGGATAGACAGATAAACCCAAAAATCGGGTAGCACACTGACAGAAAACCGCCCATTGATTAGATTTAAGTTAGTGGGAAACGGGTGAAATGGTCAACCAGGACTAAATAGAGCCCTAACTGCAAGAAAAGAAACCCTGTCGGAAAAGGAGTGGGGATGAAGCAAGAGGAAGGTAGCAAAACTTCAACATGGAGAGGGAAAAAAAGAAAAATTTTATTCTTGTGGAAAATTATAAAGAAATCAGTGGTCTAAAGTAGCACAAAAAGGGCAAACATCCTTAAAACCAATTGAAAATTAACACAAAAAATGTGATTACTAATATCTAAGAAGGAACATTAAATAAAGACAAAAAAAAATGTATGCTTAAACTCAAAAACAAAATTGAATGTGACACTTAGAAATCCTCAAAATGCTACTGGTGGCGTTTCAATCGTCATTTTTGTGGAAGATGGAGATAAGCCATTCTTTCCTCTTGATCTTCAATTGTTTTGTTCTTTTCCATTTGTATCAAGAATTGTTTTTCTATTCCCTCCCCATTTTCACCAAGGATTTTTCCTCTCCTTCTTTTCCCTTTACACCAACTATTTTTTCTTCTCCATTTGTTAATTTAAATCCTAATATCTTTCTTTTCAGCTTTGTTTTTAAATTGTATGCATTCTAAAACATTTTAAAATATAGTGAAACCTCCAGGAAAGACCACCTCTGTGTAACGACTTCCTCTATTTACGACCAGTTTTAGGAAACATGGAATTTTTTCCGTAGGCTTTGAGTTGAAGGAAACCTTTAGGAAAGTCCTTCAAAATCTCTCCCAGTGACCGGGCAAACATCTGCATCAACAGTGAATTTCAAAGAAGGAAATACGAAAAAATATCGAAACAATATTAGCTAAACAAATAGATTTATATGTATTGAAAATATTTGTGATTGGCTCTTATTAAGAGAGCTCTTTTTGACGATTTCAGAAAGAGTTTGACAACCTCATGTTACAATCAGAGTGCACTAAAGACAATGCTATCAATGATTTAGTTTTAGAGTAAAAAGTTTCAATTAGAAAAAAAAAGTTATCTTAGAAAAAATTTATCATCTCAAAAAACAAACCTTTTCTCAAACTGAACTAATTTTTATAATATAAAATTAAATCCAAACTTATGCAGAAAACATAATTGTTTATTCATTTAAAATAGTTCTATCATTCATAATTGGTAAATTTGATTTTACACGTAATCATATCAGTCATTATTATTGACGCTATATTATATTCATCGAATCAGTTTTCATGACACCAACACTAGTAAAATTTCCACACCGAGAAAAAGACACTGTGTAAAATTAAAATCATGTACCTTCAATAACATTTTAAATTCATGGGAATAGCCCCTAAGAATGACCAACCCCCATTAATGACCATTTTACTGTGGATTAGAGAGTGGCCGCTCCGAGAGGTTTCATTGTTATAAAATTTTTATGCTGCATCATAGTTTCAAATATGGCTAGAAATCTAAACTATTTAGTGATTCCTATGAAATGTTTGTTTTTATTTCAAATTTTAAGGCTGCATTATTAATTTTCATTTCAGAATCTTGCATCTCCAAAGAATGATGAATGGTCAAGATTTGTTAACACATTGCAAGAATTAGAAAACAATAAAGCTGATCAAGAATTAGATAACCTTAATAATCTTACATCTAGTAATTCATACATGCTTCCTATTCGTTAAAAAAGATCTAAATTGTAATTAAAAAGGATCAAAATAGTTATGAAAGATTTTTTATTTTAAATCTTTTGAATTTTTTTTATTTCTATGGATGCGAAGCATTCATTCGATATTGAAAGGAATTTTTCCTTTATACACCATCTCCTTATCACATAGCATAAAAAAATCTCTTTATTATGTAAAAAGGGAACCATGTCCAATGGTAAAAAATTAAAGGGTTAAAATTATAAAACTACATTTTTGTGTGTACCATTTTTAAAATAAAGAATAAAATTTTTATATAAAATATAAGAAATCTATATTAAAATAATTCTATGTTTGTTGGTTTTAAATAAATTCTTAATTTAAATCATTTTTAAGCTTTGTTTACGATACCAATTTTTAGTATTTCATTTGTATTTTTATTTTATTTTTTTTTTGGATATGTCACACTGATTTGGAGGTTTCTAATTTTGTTATATCTTAAGTTTAACAAGTATACTTATGTGCCATATGAGTTTTTTCTCTCTTTATACATTAAATTGTCAACATACTTTTTTTTTTACTTGAACTCTAAAACTGAGATTGTACATGATAACGCATTTTTTATTTTATATTTAAAGAAAAAACACTTTTATGGTTACCATGTATAATAACTGTGAAATGTTTCATAGAAGGTATTAAGCAAATTGGAAGGATATGGTTGTTGTATCGAAATGAATAGTCATGATTATAAATAAAAATACGTTTCACAGTTCTCTCTTCATATATTTTATTTCATATGTAATTGTCATTTTATTAATTTAAGTACAAAACTGCAACCAATATAAAAATTTTGAAGTGCTAGCTATGTTTGAAAAAGTTCACTTTAACTGCTAATGCTAACATTAAATATGAACTCATTGTCAAAATGTATTTCTTAGTAGTTTAATTTTTTCTTAAAGCTAGTCTAATGAACCAGAAAGAAATGAAACTTTTTGTGCTAAATTTTATATAAAAATCATTTTCATGCAATATTATGTTTATACTGTTATGTCGTTACCTTAAGCAAAACACTCTTTTTCAATTGCTCTAAATTTGATTGTTGATTTTGTTCAAATTTATTAATTCCTGCTTTTATCAACATGAAATTATGATCTATAGTTTGCAAATGAATCTAAATAAAAGTATTGAAACTTCTTGGTTTTTGTGTTTAGTTATATTTATTGTTCTCCATACATAAGTTTTGTTTCATATGAGAAAGTACTTTAAGCCTCATAAATATCCATATCTCTACAATACTTGTTGATGCATTATAAAATGCTTTCCTGAATATTTTATAGAAGAGTTAGTTTTTGTTCTGAATTTATCTAGATATTTAGCAAATTTTTTTTTTTTTTAATTCTTAAAATGGATTTCTATACTAAAGACATATTTGAAAAGAAATAAGTCACAAAAGTTATGCCTTCTAGCTTTATCCTACAGTTGTAAAAAATGACATCAAATGTTTGTTTCCATGTGTGTTGATTTATATCATTGAGTCTAGAATTTCAGTTTTGAAACAATAAAAATGACCTGCATTACTCATTTTCTGCCTTATTCTAAGCATCACTCATTGGTATCCCTAACGATTAGTAACTAATAACTCACTGGTTTTCTGCTGTACTAATACATTTGCTTAAATTGTTTGTATCACAAAAAGAAACTAAATTTTATCAAAATTAACTATGTTTTGTTATTATGCTATGTTCATTAACACTTTGAACACTTGCTATGTTTATTAACACTTTGAAACATCTCAAGAATAATACATTTGAAAAAATATAGTAAACTACCTGCCTGTGGTGACCAGCTGGGCTGTCCACACGAACTCAACACTTCATGGCTATACACTTGTTCCTGCTGCCTTTAGCAGCATTGCTCTGATTATTATGTTTTATTTTATTATTTCTGCAAGTTATGTTTTAAGATGTACTTCACCTCTGTGTTTTAAGTGCAAATCAAAGGGTTAGAAATTTCTCTTGGACTTGCCTACAGCAGCCAGTTATTTAGTTTGCTGAACAAATTAGATTATTTTGCTGTTATTTATTTAACTGAACAAAATTCATCAGTTTAAAACACACATATATAACACATAAAAAAAATTTCCATCGAAGAATCAACTTCATTTTTGTTATTATTAGTTTGCCTATACAGGGTAGCCACAAAACAGGGAAAGGTCAAAATATTTTGTTGAACACGAAAATTAGGGAAATTTCGGAGGATTTAATTAAAATGTCCGAAGAATCAGGGAAAAGGAATTAGTTTGAATTTGAAGTACTTTAAAGTCTAATATCCAATTTTTTTTTCTAGATGAATTAGAATACAATCTGAAGAATATTTTCTAATGCTCGATTTTAGTTCAATTTGCATCAAATAATAGATAATTTAGCTCAATTTGTATCAATTAGTAGATACAATTTTTAACCTTATTTATGCATATACATTTAAATTACAATTTTAAAAAAAAATTATATGAAAAAAAAACTTTTTTTTACATAAAAATAAATTTTATTAAATTTTTTTTATGAAAAAGTGATTTTATATTTTACGGACATGAATACAACAGAAAAATGATGCAATTGGTTACAAAAATCAGAGAAATTGGATAAAATCATCCAAAAAAGTTAGTCAAGGTAATATATATATTTTTTAATTCTTGTGGCCACCTTGTTAATACCATCTCCCATTTTGATGTCTACCTGAAAATGCTCGTATCTCTAAAAATTTTATCTTTATGCTTCAAGTGAAAACTTTTTGTTCTTTTCCACTTCATTCTACGATTTTGAAACCATACTTTTACCTGAAAGAAAAAAAAAACAATATATTAGATAAGCTATCAAATTCATGTTTACTAATATTCAAAGTAGTATCGGTACTCAGATTAAAGAACTTGCTTAGTGGAAAGAAAAAAAAACATTTTGGACTTAAGGCAGTAATATTTCAAGAACCGAACACCGACCTTATTGAGAGCTATCCTATTCTTGTTATTGTCTGATTTTGATTACTTATTATTTAAGAAAACTATTATCATATAATTTATTGTGTCAGCTGTATTGCCACTAATAAAAAAAATTTCATAATGAAAATAATTAGAGGAAAGCGGAAATTCCTAACCTAAAGGTCTCCAGAAGTGTTCTTTAACCCTCATCTTGAATTTACAGAGGCTTTCTAGACAAGTTATAGTTTCCTCCTTTTTTTTTTTCTTTTTTTTTTACATTGAATTAAATGAGACCAAAATGATGTAAATAAGACCAATAGTTTCGAAGTTATAAGTTTCTTAATAAGTATAGTATGTAAAACACATTTTTTGACTTATAACTATTTACGCATCTGATACCTTTATCTATTCAACAGAATTGTTTCCTATGTATTTTATACTGATTCGAATGAAGCTAAAACTAAAGTCAATAGAATTAATAGATTAAAAGTTATAAAAAAAATTTATGTATAAAAAGTATAATTTTCTACTTATGCGTCTGACATTGCTATTTAAGCGATTGAAATACTGTTTTGTATGCATTATTGTACTGTATTGTTTAATCGGAAAACCAAGATGCTTAATAAAAAGTTGATAAGTCTAATGGTGCAGAAATTATATGGGTTTAGTGGATGTAATCTATGAGAAGTACAATTTTTGATTTATACTCATTTGGGTATCTGATACTTCTATCTAGACAAGTATGTGTATAATTTATACAAATTCGAATAAATATAAAAGCAAGACCATAAAACCAATAGTTTAAAAGTTATAAGAAGTTTGCGAAACTAAAAGCGTGATATTAACTTAGATGTATACATGGATAAAATTTTAAAGTAGTTTTAGATTTAAAAGTAGGTTTCTCCGGAGCTATTCTACCTATTTCGTTCAAATTTTTTGTTTTTCCATATAAAATAACATTCTTTAAAATGATGTAAAAATTGTGATTTCTTACAATTCAAAAAATTTTCGACTGTTATTAAATAAAATAATTAAAAATAATAAATAATTATTAAAATAATTTTTTTGCATGGAATTTTTTTGGGTATATGAATTTTATAATTGCACAAGTTTATAACTACGCTATATCTGTAAAACTTTTCTTTGATTTCTAACAATTCCTTCATAGTGATGCAATTTTCCCAAATATTAGTCTTGCGAACCGTGATCGCTCAGGAGGATAGAACGTTCGTCTTCCAATGAGGCGACCCGGGCTCGATACCCAGCGACAGCGGGTCGATACGAATTCCGCATCCAGCTTGCACCGACCATAGTGTTGATGTAAAATATTCTCAGTGGTAGGTAGACGGATCATGGGTGAGAGTTCCTTTGCCGTTAGGGTAACCGTGCCACTTTTTCGTGGTTTTCCTCTCCATGTAACGCAAATACTGGTTAGTTCCCTCAAAAAGACCTCTATGAAGGCAAATTTCTCTCAATACTTGTTCCAGGAGTTCCTTGTCTTCTTCATTGGGTTCAAATTTACAAGCCGACGGAGTTGAATATCAGTAGTCGTAAACCCGAAATGGGGTCGACTGTTCAATGATTATTATAAAATAAAAACATTAGTCTAGCGCCTTCCAATGAGATGACCCGGGTTTGAATCCCAGCGATGGCATGCCGATACAAATTCAACATCTGGGTCAGATCGATCGCAGTACTGACGTAAAATATCCTCCATGATAGGCGTATCATAGTTAGAATTCCCTTGCCGTCAGGTTAATCGTGGGAGGTTTTCGTCTCCATGTAACGCGAATGCAGGTTATTCCATCAAAAAATCCTTCACGAAGACAAATTACTCCCAATACTTGATCCAGGAGCTCCCTTGTCTTCTAGATTGGATCAAAATTACAAGGCTACGGAGTGGAACATTGATAATTGTAAACCCAAAATTGGGTCGGCTATTCAACGACGGTTATAAAATAAAATATAGTACTTAATAAATTTGATGATGTTAATACGTTGTTAATGGTAATGCTCTGCATTTACTGCATCGATACTTATTCTTGTTTAAAATTTCTTCGTTAATAATACTTCTAATTTGTACTTAAAATAAAAATGAAGATATAGATAATAAGTTGTCAATATAATTCGTGTTCAAGAGATTAATAATGAGCACGTTCATATTTTCATTAATATGCAATAAAACTAATGATCAAGTTATGTAAAAAATTTCTTTTGAGCATGTATTTTGATGACTAACGTGCCCCACAGGACATGTTAAAATTGTAAAATACGAATCCTGTTTTACATCGACTGATGCTGGAATATTTTTAAAAAGAAAGAAAAAAAAAAGCAACTAAAATTATTTACTTGTCTCTCTGTCAAATCTAGAGCTACAGCTATTTCATATCTCCTTAGCCTAGTGAGATAATTATGGTGAGCAAATTCTTCTTCTAATTCTTGGATTTGACTCTTGCTAAAAGCTGTTCTTTCCTTTCGAGGTTTGTTAAGATCCTCACCTTCAGAATCTGCAAAAAAAAAAAAGTAGCAGCGTAAAAACAAAAAGAAACAGATTAAATTATTGCTTTTCTTAATTGTTTTGTTATAGTTGTTAGTTAATGCCTTATGTACTAATAAGCCCCACAAATATTATTTCCATAAGCATTGAAGCGGAACAAAATATCCCATTAAAACTTCTCTCTGCTCCTGTAATATGACTCTTTATCCCTACAAGTTGACAACACACCGATTATTTAAATTTGAACATCAACTATGCAGCTCTTTCGTTATTGATCTTTCGTTTGAGAACGTCATTTTATGATAACTTAATTTCATTCTTCAATTTTCAGCTTCCTCTCTGGATCAATTTGGCAAGTAAATTTTTCATATTCTTTTTATTGATTTATTAAAATTTTCATCGAGTTATAAACAAAGCATTAAATGTGTAATTTTAATTAAAATTTTATGATGTGGTGTTTGCCCTAAATTGAATATTTTCTAAGAAATTAGAAAATGATGTTGAATATTAAAAAAAATATTTGTTAAAGCTTAAAAATAGACATTATTTAATGGGACAAAAATGTTTAGCTTATTTTTGATTATTTTTTTAATTTGGTGAATAAAGAGTTAAAAGTAAACGTTTAGCCTACATCCTGCTGTTAAACTACAATGTTAGTCCTAAGAAGTAATAAAACTATGCCAGAACATTGTTCCGAGAAAAAATTTGGAGGTAAAAAGCCGTACCAATTTTTAAATTGATAAAAAAAAAATTTAAGAGCTATAAAATTGACAATTAACATTATCAGACACAGCTAATATGTCTCTTGAAAAATAGTTTAAAGTAGGTTTCCAGCAAGGAAGTATTTCACGTCAGATTCAATAAAAAAAGAAAATAATCGCTTACAAATATTTTTATTAAGCTAAGTTTTTGAAAATTATTCTTTTAAGTTATTAAGGAAAGAAAAAAAAATCACCTTATAATATTTTAACTACGAACATCTAAACATCAAATGTAACGAAATGGAAACATAACTTTTACAATATTTTCTGAGAAATACTTTTTCAGTTCATAAAGGTAAACTTAACGCCAGAAAAATTAAGCAATTTTTTTAAATGGAGGATTCTCAAATCCCAAAAACACGCGTACGTAATAATTGTACATTAGCAAAGTAATCAGAGTGGTTTTTAATTTTTAATAAAGTATATTTGTAATTGATATAAATATTTTAAAAATTTAAGCATCTTTAGCACCAAATACTATTGCAATGAAATAAGTATTGCAATAAATACGAAAAAGTAGTTGAACCATGATTCAGAAGTACTATGTACTGCAGCAGCCTACATTCGTTTGTTTTGGAATTGTCCCTAAAATCAAATTTTTCTACATCAATAAATTCCATAACGATTTTTTCCCATTATGTGTTTCGTAATGATATCTGCCTTTATAACATATTTTTAAAATCCTTGATAAAAGTGAGGGAAAAAAAGTATCCGCAATTAGGGTCACAAATTATTTATGCGACCAAAAATAAATAAAGAAAGTAAAATACCTTAAAATGTAATTATTATTAATTCTGAAGTATGATAAAAAGAGGTAAGTTAGTAAAATAAAGTAAAGTAAGATAAAGAATACAACTTTTTGAGAAAACGATACTATAAATGACACTCTTTGAAATTGTTCTTTAGTTTTAAACTTTCATTATTGAATGGAAAAAAAAATCGTTTGAATACAGAACACGTCATTCCATACTTTTAGATTTAGTGTTTTCCTGATTCGTGTAATCAAGGCATGTGAGACAATTTTTGCGTGACCAATTGTTTCTCATTTATAGATTGTAAGATGAGTAAACTTTGAAAATTCCTGCAAACGTTTTCTTAAAGAGAAAAAAAAGAACACAGAATTTTTGGCCATTGGGGGAAACAGCTTTAAGCTAATTAAAATCTCACCTGCGTAAAAATGATTTTCCAAGCATGCCTTCTCCGTTTCCTCCTTTTGACTTGCATATTGTGATTCACTATTATTTATATATTCAAGTTCTTTTATGGCATCTAGAGGCGAAGACGTATCTCGCAAATTGACGTTGAAATTCCTCGAGTTGAATTCACTATTTTCCTCTTTGCACTTAAATTCAGTGTTTGAGTTCAATTTGAAAGCGGACATATCAACCGGTACATAGTTTTCAAAAGCACTGTTATCGCCAACTAAATTTTTATTTATCGTTTTATCGTCTGGAAATAATGAATAAAATGAACTGTCTTGAAGTGAAGTATCAGTTTCTGAAGTTTTACTAAGCCTCTTTGGCAACGAAACATGGTAGTTGGTGGATTGTTCGAAATTGGAATTGGTGATCTGGTTTATAGTTATTTCCGGTAAAATAAAATTATCAGGTGCCATCGTTTTTGTTCTAAGAGGTGAACAAGATTTTGGTATCGTCTTTTCTTTATTTAAATAGTCGAGTGTATTAACTCCAGCGTCATTAGCTGTTGCTAATGTTAAGTCTATCAAGCCACATTCATCTAAATGAGATTCTGATGATGTCTCGAATTCGGGGTTAAACCAGTCTCCTGATGTACTGGATGATTCTTCTAGGTCTGTGAAGTCGATGAAATCTGTAGAGGCAAGAAATGAAGAGTCGAGAATATCAACTGATTCGTTATAGTTCTGAAAAAATAAGTCTGTCTGATGCGTTGAAGGTATTGTGAAAGGTGAGACATTTTCAAAGAAATTCTTGGTGGATTTTTCAGTGTAATTGCTAAAGTTGATAAATGGAGGAATTTTCTCCATCTGAAATGTGCATATGGCCCTTAACTGGAAAAAAAAGAAAAGGAAATATATACATATAATAGTCACAAATATTTCAAAATGTATATCGAATATGAATATTTTTCAATTGAAATGAATATTTGAATATATTCAACAAAATGAATATTTTTCTTTTTTTTGTGAGAACTCCGTGTTATTGGAATATTTCTAAATATTAAACGCAAACAGCATTTCTAAGAATAAATAAAAAAAGTTTCGTTCAAAATTAGTTACTTTTAATAGGATTTCTTCGAAACTAAAATAATTTTCATTATTTAAATAACCTGCTTACCTGGTTACATTTTAATTTTTTCAATAAAAAAATGGTGATTTTTCTTTTCTTTTGCTGCTTAGGAGATTTTACAAATTTGAAAATGAATGACCAAGAGTGTTGGCTTCATAATCTACAGAATAGTATAAAAAAGAGCACCGGAAAAAAAGCAACATAAAATCACTTATTGGAATATATAATTACTAAATTACATTAATTTTGTTTTTCTTTTTCCATACTTTCTTAACTAATTGCAATTAGTGCTTGTGCAATAAAAAAGTTATAAGAAACTAATATTTTTTAACACATTTTAATAAAAGTAATTAAAAATAATTATTTGTGAAATTTTATTTCTTTTGATTAATAAAATGGGTATTTTTGAAATGCTGTAATTGCTTCTCATCAGACATTTAATATTAATTTGCAAAGTAATAGTTTACAAAACCAAAATCAAATTCCACTTAAATAATAAAAAAATAATTTTTTCCTAAAAGATATTTAAAATATACTTGTTATTGAAATATTTTTTTACTTAGTTGGAATTAAATACTTATTATACCTTAACATTAATTAAAATTAAAACTTTTTAGTTTAAGTGAGACTGTATTTGTTGCTTAAAATCTGTTCCCTATTGCTCTTTTTAAAAGCAACAGTAGTTTAAATATTAAATTTTTTTTTACTCGTTCACACTGATTGCTTTACCAACTTTACATCAAAAATCTAAAAGTTTAAGTAAATCGATCGTAAGGTCATGTCATAGCTATTAATCTGTCATTAAATTCATATGTCATTAAACAGACGTAAATATTAAAAAATTCTTCATATCAAAACTTGATTCTGTTTTCTTGATTACGCACTTTCCTTTTCTTACGGTTCTTTCTTTAATATGGACTATTCTTCCAGTGCTTTTTCATCATGTGCTTTTTTCCGTGTGTTTTTTCCAGTGCTCTTTCTTCTGGTGTCTTTTTCCGTGATTCGATAGACAGGTTGTCCTTCAATGTACGCTCGTAAAATATAATTTAGAATCTTTGTAAAAAAAACCAAAAAAATTTATCACTTTAAGGGTCTCATATAAATATTTAGGCGACAAGAAAAATCAAAGCGTAATCAAACCTTTTCAAATGATAATGAAATTCAGTTGGAGCAAGGGAAGGGTTATAATCATCAAAAACAAGTCTATTTAGGTATAAAACGGGTTAATTTTTAGTGAAAAACCACCTTTCCGCTTCGTGCTCAAGTAGACAGATTTCTAATTTTTCTAATTCTTCCTCTGCTCTGAGAATGGCGTACTAATATATTTATAACTCCAATATATGTACGCATAGGCTCGGGTTAATCTCAAATATGATTCGCCAGACTTTTGTAACCATTTTGCTTCGTTTCCCAATTAAAAAAAATTAATTTGAAACCACTAATATGAATATTTCTTAAACTTCATATTCACAACGATTCTAAAAATATATGGTAATTCGTAATGATAGATCTTAATATGTGCTTAAGTAATCGTTGTCAAAAATGGAGGAAAAAAAGCACTGACATTAGTCAGAACAAAAAAAGAAACGCCAATAAAATCTAATGAATTACTTGTGAAAAAAATGCAAAATACTTCGTTAAAGATAGTCATAAGTAGAAAATGTTGATCCCAACAAATTAAAAGTTCCTCGATACAAATTTTTTAAAAATATTTTTTAAGAACCCATTGTACTATTGCACATTAGTCCGAATGTTGTAATGGTAGAAAGTTGTCTAAGAAAGTTGTTCATTCATTTTTTTCATAACGCATGTCTTTCTTGGAGGATAGAGAGAGGAACGAAAGATAAATTTAACCCTTTCCGGTCGTAATAAGTTGATACATAGTTGCCATACTATTCGAAATAATTTTTTGTTGAACAATTGCAGGATATAGAAGAAGAAAAAATTCTCTTTTAGGGAGGAAAAAAACCGAAACTGTTAAACGAAAATACATTAAACTTAATTGCACTTAAACACATTTCGTAAAACATTATTTTGAATTTTACAGACTTATAATGTTGCATCGATATAATTCCTTATTATACTATTCAAAGTTCAGCTATTTATTAAGTATCAATCAAGAATTGTTTAATGCTATAAAATCAGTATGGTTTTTTGTTGTGGTAGCTGAGAGCAGACATAAGACCGTACAAGGTTAAACTAAACCGTTGTTTGTATGTTTTGTTCTACTAATATGGGGAGAAATAATGAAGAACATCATATTTTTGTAATATAAATTTGGAAATTTTCCCGTAACCAAAAATATAAAATATTTTGTAATGAACACTCTTGACATATATTTTTATAATCCTTGTTAAGAATTAAGCAAAGAAACATGCACATTGAAGGTTTGAAATTGGTGTTCAAAAGAGTAAAAGATACCAACGGAATCAGAATATAGCGATTCAATACAGAGAAATCTGGAATGTGAACATCAAATGTTTGATTGGTGAGAGAAATAGAGGAGACTTGTAAGGCAATCAAACAGATTTTGATGTTTTTCATGTCACTTTCCCCATTGATTGATTTCAATAATATTTTTGTTTCTCAGTCGTATAATTATTAATTTTCAATCCCTGATTTGTTTACTTTTAAGTCTAAATTTTTGACGCAGATTATGAAAATTAATAAAGGATGTCGTTTCTAATTTTCCAGTAAAGAAGATTTTTTTTAAGGTCAAATTTTCAGGTTTTCCTTAATCTATTAAACTTAAATATTATTAATAATTGTGAATTTTATTAAAGTAATTAATGTCAATGCAAATTATTACATTAAATGATATTGTATCGACGAAATTACGTTCTATGAACCCTGGTTTTAGAAACATCGTAGCTCTGGTTAGCATTATTATAGAACAATAATTTTTGTTTAACCAAATCCTTAAATAAGACTGACTTCTGATGGGGGGAAATTTTCTAAACAGTTTCAAGCATTATTTTGAAAAGCCGATGGTTCTGAATCTACAAAATTATTACTTGTATTTTTGGCCCCATTGAGCTCTTTGTACGATATATTTTCGATGTCAATAAATAAGATTCTTAATTTTACTGTTTTAATATATTTTGTATTTAATAATTGTATACTGATATAAAAGTTGGTAATTATGGTGACGCCCAAAACTATGAACATTATATATAACAGTGAACTTTATTATATTTTACAAGGATGACTCTAAAAATGCTTCATAAATTAAGAATAATTTTTTGTGCATAAATTATTTTCCGGTATTCTTTTTTTTATTTTAAATTTTGTAATGTCAATGGAGAAAAGAGCTATGTTAAATAATCCATTCATTTATAATCATCAAATATTTTAGTAAATATAATTTCAATACTTTCCTTGGAATCTCACATCATATTCAATTTTGATTGCTTTTAGACATTTCGCACGGTGTAGCAAACTTTTGCAATTTTTCAAAACTTTCATAATAGAACATTTCATCATTATTCATAAACATTATACATCATTATACATAAACATTATATCATTAATAAACAGAATAATCATATTTCCCAAATAGAAATCTTGACATTTCTTACCAAAGATCTTTAAAAAATAAAGAAATAAAAATAAAAAAGACGTTTTTCTGAATTATTTTTGAATAACTATTAGAAAATGTGGTTTATCATTATATTGCGCCAAGACTTTCAATTGTATTTAGTAAAATAATTTGATACTAAGTATTTAATACTAAATAATGTATGAAATAAATAATATATAAAATAAATAACATATAAAATATATAGTATATAAAATATATAAAACATAATAAATGAAACTTCATTTTACCTTTTTTCAAGAAATATCTTTGCGCCGACCACATATAAGGGCACAGAACTTTAGCTCAATTGTCAGTAGGAGAAGATTTGGAAGATGGAAGAACTGTTGAACGTACAACAAAGTAAAAAAATAAAAAATCCAAATAAGTCCACCGCCCCCTCCACGTGATCAAGAAGTTCCCTTGGAAGGCTGGACTTGAGTGTCACAAATCACTGCCCGAGGCATTTTGACACTCTGGGATCTTGAGTCAGGGAATTTCCCTGACAAATCTTAAAGAAAGGTTTTTATTTTCTCGTCCGATGAAAGAACTTAATTCTGCATCTGACTTGTCTTCTTAATCGTCTTCCTCCTCTATTTTGACAATTCTTTTTGTGGCGAATAAGTTGCAGATAATTGTGAATTAACTGCTGCATGCTTGTATGTCCATTCCTTTAATAAGAGAGTTGTCAAGTGGTGGTTTAAAGAAATTATTTTACAAAAAATTTTTTTTCTTCTTTCGAACAGCAGTTATGTTCCTTTTATAAATCAAGTTGAACAGCCTAATTATTTTTCGCATAAATTTGCATTTCAATTAAGGGAAATTATATAAACTACTAGTATTATAATGTATTGTTTTGAGTATGTAACATAGTGCTCCGTAAAGACCGTATTTAACGTATATTTTTAGAATCGGAATTAATATTGAAGAGAGGAAAATAACAAAAAATGCTATGGAAATCTGGCAAATCGCAGTTGAAGTAGTGGGCTGTAAGGAACATCACCTGTTTGACTGCTGGAGAGAACAGTAATGATTTGAAAAAAAAATATTAGAAAGATCTTTAAGTTTCTTCCTGAAATGAATTGGTTTTGATAATATATACAAGAATATTTGATAATATATACACCCATCCTCCTTAATTGCAATTTATCAGATTTCAATAGTTTTTTTCATAATAAAAGCCATTTTTTCTCGCTAAAATGCGACTCCTTATATGTATACTTTTTTCTTCTTAATTTTTGAAAAGAGTTCTATAAACTAACACCTTATAGTTATGTGTTTATATGCTTTTTATTTTATGATAAGCTTTAGATTGTCCTTTTTTCAAATTTCCCCACGAAAAATCTTTTATGTATTTTGTTCCATGAACTCTCAATAAAAAATATTCTAAACAACTACTAAATAAGCATTCTTAATGGGAAGGAGGAAGAATGTTCCAAGTTGGAATTCTGCCTTTTCCTGAGTGGGGAAAACACATTAGACTTAACTTTTATTCAGTTTACTCGAAAATTTTACTACTATATTTTAAAACTTATGGGTGCACTGCCTATTGCATGTAGAATTTTTTTGTCAGCGTTATTTGTTTTCGGTTAGTTAAGTGATAAAAAATCTAAATTTTAAGACATTTTTCTTTCAATGTTTCATCATTTTCTTACAAATATACAATATTATTGCAATTTACAAATTTATAATTTTTTTCTTCTTTATTTTAAAGGAATATATTTCATGCCCCAAATCTAAATCTTTAATAAACATCTTAAAATTTTAATCTGATCTTTCAATTAACTTTTAATATTTTTAATCTGATGAAAATCGAAGATACTATCTAGATAACTGCTATCAAATGTCTCCTGTGAGGAAACTTATGCCAACGAACATACACGTATAAAATCTGGATCCAAAATTTTTTACAATATTATTGCGGTTACTTAGTAGAGATTGTGTGAAACTAGTATTCCTTAGGTTATGGCATTCACAATTACCTTAAAGAACTTTATTTATAAAGTAGGGGTTCTTTTGAAAGAAGGTTCCGTAGGGAAGGTATTTAGGGTTCCGTAGATGAAAAAAATTAGGAACCGTTGGTCTAGAAGTCCATAAAAGTTTATTTGAGATTTCCTTCCATAAATTTGATTAACTAAATTCACTGAAATATCCAAGTATATTACAATCAAAATTACTAATGTTCCTTATTGCTTTTAACACCACTGTATGTTTCTCATTGCAGGTAGGTCATTGTGTAAATTTGCCATAACTAAATGTTTCACATTATTTCAATATGTATCTTATTTTATTCGATCAGGTACACAGCATACTTCTGAAAAATAACTAATTTTCCCTATAAAACATATTTTTTTAATAATTTAATAAGATCATTTTTAAAAACTTATTACTTAAATACAAGTTTAAGCAATTTTATTCACCTAGTTTCTTAAGAAAAACAGAAAACTTAAGAAAGCGATTTTGTCTGTCTAACTTTCCTGATTTAGTTTCTTTGAATTCCTCTTATATAAAGAAAATATTAGTATAGTAAAGCACATAGTTTAAATAATATAGTGCAAAATTATGTGAAAATAATTATATATACTTTTGATCAATTAATTTATTTACCTTAAATTTTTTTGTAATGCAATTGTTTAGATATTTTACCAGAAAGCGTTTCTAATGTGTAAAGTTTGTTTCTCTACAGTTTCTGAACTGACAAGGAGAAAATGGTTTTACAGAGACTGAATGCCTGGCTAATGGTCGCTCCAGTAAAGAATAGTTTAAAAATTGTCAGATATTGGCAATTATTACTTAATAGAATCCTTCTAATATGGCTTTGTAATACTTAATTTATTGATTCATTTATTATTATTTTTTTTTTCCGTGGTTACTACAAAGGTGCAGCTGGAATAGAAAACCGACGAACACATTTATGTATACAACTTAACCTCGATAAAGAATTTTTTCCATTTTTATTTTTGTAGTTGTTTTTATTATTTCTATTATTGTGTTTAATTTTTTAATTAATTAATTAATTTACCTCACTGTTCATATTTTTCAGAAACGTATCAATCGATTATTTTAACTCTTTTTTTTTCTTTCTATTTCTATCAATTCGTCAAATCTGATTTCCTAATTTCCGCAGAGTGAACTATTTTTTAGATTTTTTTAATGAATTTATAATAGAGTTTAATACAAAAAAGAAATCAACTCTTTTAAAAAAAAATTGTAAATTGTGAAATTTTTAAAGTACCTAATTTTTAAAGTAATTTTTAAAGTAAGAATTTTTAAAGTAAGTATTTTTAAAGTTTGTTACTCAATTTACAGAAAGATTACGATTATTAGTGAAGTTATCCTGACGTAGAACAAGTAGCCCAATAAAAAAAAATTGTCGGTTAAGCATTCTGTAATATTTTTAACTACTTCAGCTTGCATTTTGCCACCATGGAAAAATCATACATGGGAGCATTTTACACGCACAAGTTTCAAAATTCAAAATAATTGCGGAGTTTCAAACATTTTAAGTTAACTTATTCGGAACTGAAATTTATTGATTGATTTCTGTCAAAAAAAATTTAAACACTTATCTAAAAAAAAAAAAAATTTTTTTTTTTGTGCTTGTATTTCTCCTGAATTGTAAAAGCATTGTTGAAATCAGTATAAAGTATTGTTACATAAATTTGTCACTTAAAATAAAGTCATTAATCTCAATCAATCAATTTTCATTCATTTACGCAATCAATTTTCATTCATTTTAAATCGGTTAATAATTAAGATTAATATTGAAGAAATGAATAAAAGCATTATAAATCATAGCATAATTTATTATGCTAAAATATATAGTTTGTAGTATAATTCGGTTATGGTGTGTTCTAAGGAGTTGATATGAAATAAACTTATATGTTGTATATATTTGTCCTTATTCTATCGGAACAATAAATTAAAATTTTTTGTGAAGCCTAATTTTTTTTTTAATTTTTAAATGTTAAATTAAAGAAACTTAAACTAAATAAAAAAAAATGAGGTTTTATTTTAGCGTGTCTCATCTTTTTAATACTTTCGCATAGATCTTTTTGTTTTATGTTTTGTATCCGGATGCTACAGACATAAAAATGACAAGCGAACAAGAACAGCATCTTCTTCTTCCTTAGAAAAAAACTAAATAAATAAAACATACAAAAAAAAAGCTACCATATGGTGCCTAAACTATTCTATAAGCTGCTGACAGTTTTCTTTAGCCTGAATATCTTATTTTTTATAGTTCAAAGCATGTTATAATTTATTTTATATTTTGATAAAAACCAGTTTCGTATCGATAACCATGAAAAGAAACATTCAAGAAAAGAAATGAAATTAATGTGTTCTTAAAAACGCGTGTGTTCTTAAAAATGAATTTAAAATTAAAAAGCTAACAGAGCTATGGATATGAAGTATACTGTTGAGCAACATGGCAATGGCAAACCTTGGATTTCATTGATTAGGAAATAGTTGTTTTTTTTCGGGGGGGGGGGGATTATAGAGAATCGCATCATAATTCATTCTATTTATAAATTTCTTTTTTAATCATTCTATTTATAAATTTCTTTTTTAATCATTCTATTTATAAAACTTTTATACTTTCAAATAAAAGTTAATCTACATTTCCCTATTTTCAAAATTGTAAAGATACTCTATCAGACAAAAATGGAAGGGGTACTTTCAGTTTTTAGCATTTTCTGACATTTTTCCAGAATCACTTATTCTATAACGTTAGAGGAGTTCAACCTATATGATTTCACATACTTATCAATAAAGTTTAAAACTTTCAAAGGGGTGAGGAGCCTCCAATGAACTTAAAAAGGATAAGAGTGTTTTTGAACATCGTATACCAAGAAAGATAGCACTGAATTTGATTATTATTTTCATAAATGCATAAAGTTTCGCAAACTTAGCTTAAATTCTTACGCAGATATGGACGTTTTTTTTTTAAATTTAAATGTTTTTAAATACAACTTTAAATAATTAAATGCTAATGCATGGATACTTAAAGAAATTTCTGTATGAACATTGTTTTAACTGCTAAGCGATATACAAAACTATGCAATGCAAAATTTATGCAGAATATTTATTTATTAACTAATTATTATTTTAAATTTTCTTATTGAGATGGATTGATATGAATAAGAAAATAAATTGAGCATATTTTTAATCCCTATATATAATATTTGGGTCCATGAGTGTCAGGTAAATTTAATTAAATATATACGTATGTAGTTTTAAAAAAAAATCTAAGATCATAGATTTGAAAGCGACTTATCATTTATCTTATAATTTTAACTTGCATGCCTACAATAGTATTATTATTATATGTAATGCATCAAATAACAATAGACTCTGGGTTTACAACAAATATTAACAACTGTCTTACAAAATTTATACGTTTTATGTTATGTTATTCCTTTAACCTTAGTTAAATAACCCTTGCAAATCAACAAACTTTTAAAACAAGATCTGAATAAATTGTAATAAACATTCGATTGCATTTAATCCGGCTTCAGTTTAAACGAATCGCTAGATTCATTTAATTTTTCAAACTAGTTTTATATTAGTACTTGTGTTCCGGTTTTGCATATTGATCTTAGAGGCAAAATTTTTTTTACCAGTGCTTTTTTTTTTTTCGTCGATTACTTTTTTCAAGACCTACAAGACCAAGTAATTTTTCTTCACAGTGAGTTCAATTTTTTTTATCATCCGGATATAAAAAAAAGAAAATTTTCTGAACAAAAAAAACTTTGCCAGTTTTCAATATATTGAAACTATTCAATAAAACACGTGATTTTCCAACTGATTGATTTTGCTTCTCAGACAGGTGACTTTCGTATGCAAAAATTTAAACTTAATTTATAAAACAAATTTAATCATTAAAAACCAAAAGAGCACGAAATCAGATACACAAATCAATAGTCAAATTTAATTTCCCAAATTAAATATCTGAAATTAAAATCTTTATCAAAGGTACCGATTTTATAATCTTAGGATTTTCGTATCAGCAAACTTGTAGATTCTGACAAAGCTGGTTGAATCTGAAGGATTCGATGGGATTTAAAAGGATTTCGCACGGTGTGACCGTCCTCTTTGCACTTGACACCCGAACACATTCATCATTCCATGAAATATTTTGAATCCAAACAAGGTTTCGGGTCGTTTCTTTCAAGACCGGCCCATGCCCCGGACGCACGTGTAAATCTCAATCCCCAGTCGCTAAGTTATGCTATTTCTAGTGGCAGCTCTATCCTATGTTTTCAACTGGACGGATTTTGTGTCTTTTAGAATTTTTTTTCCCCCTGCTGCAGTTTTTTGAGAAATAAAGCGATAACAGACGAGAGTGAAACACGATATATCCTTGTGGATTCTTGTTGATGTTACGACCACTTGGTTACTGCTCGCGAAGAAAGAGTGGAAACGTAAAAGAAAAGCAAACGATATGAAATTTTTGCTGGCACGGTTAGTTGGAAGTTAATTGATAAGCATTGCACATATGTATAGTCAGAAACTTATTATCTCACGAGCTTGGGATACGCTAACTATCGGTTACTAATTATTATTTATAACAAAAAAAAAAATTTTCAAATTTTTTCTGTACTGATTAATTAATATTTAATGTTCATACTTCTACATTTTGTAAAACAATGTTAATTTTATTTTTTATCAATTACTGTATTATATAAAAATTTCTCAGTTTCTATGCTTGTGTTATATTTATATGAACAATATAATTAGAATAGTTATATTGTTTTATATTCTAATAATACTATATCATCAAAAGTTTGTTAAGTACAAAAAATATCGAGAAAACACCAATTAAACATTTAACTAGAATTCGAATAGTTATATTATTTTAATTATATTCATATAATTGCAATACGATGATTTATAGAATTTATATAATTAGATTATTCATATAATTAATATAATTAGAATTCAATATTCTTGCCGATTTTCAAAAAAAAAAAAAAAAAAATGCTCTTAGTTTTCTATAGTTGTTAGTTTTAGGATTCACAACTAAACAATTTTTGAGTGTAGAATCGCGTAATATTTAAAAAATTTATGCTGTTTTTTTTTTTTAAATGTTTTGGATTTTTTAAAAAAAGTATTTTTTTTTAAATTTATTTTTTTATTGAGACTTTTTGACGATGGCTATATTTCAAAAGGGGGCACTAAAACAAAGTTCGAACCCTTGGTTCAGTTTCACCATAATCAGGCCCTGGGCCTAAGTTCATCATCATAGTCAGGCACAGCATAGTGAAATTGAAAGAAGAAAATATTATTTTTCTATAGCTGGAATCAAATTCATGCCTGCTGTAAAAAGATTTCGCAAAATTTCAAATAAACTGTTTTATAAAGCAAAATGAAACAATTTTGTGATGAAACATTATAAAACAACTTTGTGATGAAACAATTTTGAAAATATTTCATATTATTGATATGTAGCAAATTAAAGAAGAAAAAAAAGGTTTAAATAAATTTGCTTCAGTTTTATGATCTGAAAAAGAGCTGTATAAAAAAACTAACAAACTTAACAAAGGAAACGAACTTGAACTCTTATTTTATACATTAATGTAAATTTTAAGTTATTGTAATTGTGTCTAATGCAATAAAAAACAGCATTTCGTTAGATATTTCTTATTTTTACTTATTTATTTTTTTAAGTCAGTGAAATTTCGATTTTTTATTGCTATACAAAATAAAATTAACTTTTAATGTAATGAAAACTAGTTGGTTTATTTAATTAATTTTGAAAATGAAATTAAATAAAAAAACTTAATAAATTTAAAACAAGTTGAAACAGTGAACATCCCATCACCACTTCGTGCTCCAGTTTTTTTTTTTTGCGATAATAAAACAATTTTTTTTTTTCCGATGCCTTTTTATTTTTTTCCAAGTGGAATTTTTCTTTTAGTATCTTTTTTCCCGTAATTGAGAAAATATGTTTAAA